TAATAATCGCCATTTAACTGGTATGAGAATGGTAATCTTATTGTGGTTTTGATTTTGTATGTGTCTAATGACCAGAGATGGATGAACCTTTTTCTTCATAAGTTGGTTTGGGCAGCATAAATGTCTCCTGTTTAGAATGTCTGGTTCCATATCCTTTGCTTTTTTTATGGGGGTTATTTACTTTCTTGTTGTAAAATTTGTTTAAGTTGTTTGTAGACTTAGATTATTAAGCCCTGTTGCAGATGGGAGAGATCGTAAAAACTTTTCTGCCCATTCTGTAGATTCCTGTTCACGTCTGGATGTAGTTTCTTTTGCTGTGCAGAAAGCCTTTTATCTTCAATTATAACATCCCATCTTGTCAGTTTTGGCTTTGGTTGCCATCTGCTTTTGGTGTTTAAGTCATGAAGTCTTCTCCCAGTGCTTATGCTCCCTGACGGTATTGCCTAGGTTTTCTTCTAGGGTTTTTTATGGGTTTTAGTTTAAGTCTTTATCCAATCATGGAGTTAATTTTATTGTATGAGGTGGTAAGAAGGAATTCCAGTTTCCCCGCTGTTTCTGCATATAGCTGCGGCCAGTTTTCAGACCCATGTTATTAAATAGGGAAATCTTTCCCCATTGCTTGTTTTGTCCGGTTTGGGGTCAAATGACCAGAGTGGGTTATGGTGTGGATGGTTAGTGTTCTGGAGGCCTCCCGCTGTTGCTGGATGTTGTGTGGTCGGAGTACAGTGCGTGGTTTGGTGTGGCGCGAGTACCGGGGATGCTGGTTTTTGGTTACCTGTAGCCTTTGAGTTATAGTTTGAAAGTCAGGTAATGGTGATGGCTCAGGGCCGCCTTTTGTTTAATTTGCTTAGGATTGTCTTGGCTATACAGGCTCTTTTTTGGTTCTATATGAAATTTTAAGTAGTTTTTTCTAATTCTGTGAAGAAAGTCAATGGTAGCTTGATGGGAATAGCATTGAATCTATAAATTACTTTGGGAAGTATGGCCACTTTCACGATATTGATTCTTCCTATCCATGAGCATGGAATGTTTTTCCATTTGGTTGTGCCCTCTCTTATTTCCTTGAGCAGTGGTTTGTGGCTCTCCTTGAAGAGGTCCTTCACATCCATTGTAAGTTGTATTCCTAGGTATTTTATTCTCTTTGTAGCAATTGTGAATGAGAGTTAACTCATGATTTGGCTCCCTGTTTGTCTATTATTGGTGTGTAGGAATGCTTATGATTTTTGCACATTGATTTTGTATCCTCAGACTTTGCTGAATTGCTCATCAGCTTAAGGAGATTTGGGGCTGAGACAATGGGGTTTTCTAAATATACAATCATGTCTTCC